ACACACACACACACACACACACACACACACACACACACACACACACATCTATAGTACCTAGTAAGTTCTGAAAATCTGTATCTTTAAATATTAAACAGAGTCAGGTTTAGCTGGATGTGGTTGCACACATGAATTTGAGACCAGCCTAGGCTCCACAGTGAGACCTTGTATCAGAAAACAAAAGTCAGGTACTAGAATCACGTATTTATTTGTTTTTGTTTTTGTTTTTGTTTCCGAGACAGGGTTTCTCTGTGTAGCTTTGCGTCTTTCCTGGAATTCACTCTGTAGCCCAGGCTGGCCTCAAACTCACAGAGATCCGCCTGCCTCTGCCTCCCAAGTGCTGGGATTAAAGGCATGAGCCACCACCGCCTGGCTGTCTTCCATTTTTGAAGGTTGCTGTGTTGTGTAGAGCTCATAGTCTATGGTCTCAGCCTTTCTAAATAGATGAATGATGAATGCCAGAAGCAGTACATTTTTTGTAGAAGCACTAAATCTGTAACATCAATATTGATTTTCCTTTTTGAAATAGCCTAAACTAAAAGAACATTAATATCTGAATTAAGACTAAGGAAGAAAAGCATGTTGAAACTTATTAAATATGCAGGTTGACCTAAGGATTAGAGAGTTCATATTTATGGAGCAGAAAATGTACTGGTTATTAGCTGTAGATGTTTTGCCTCTAGATTTTGGACATGCCAAGAGCAGGTGGAAGGGTGGTGGTGCTGCTGGCATCTAGTGTGTCAGAACCAGGATGCTGCTCTACACTACAGTATACCATGATAGTCACTGAAAACTTTCTGCACCCCATAAGCCTCTCCACCAACACAACAATCCAAATCAGACCAAATCAAACCTAATTAGAAAAAGCCCGGGCTTAAGGGGTAAAGCACTCCCAGATGATTTTCCGGCCCCCCAGAGAGGAGATGGGGAAGAGAGACCAGAAAAAACACTGTTTTCTGGGGTGGGCAGTTTAAATATCCTGTGGGAGTGGTCTTGAACATCTCTGAGAGAGGAGCCCTGTTTGGCAGGCTTTCTGAGATGAGGCAGGATTTGGAGAGAGAGAGATGGGGGAAGGGAATTGAGGTGAAGCTTACACCAGAACATCCCAGACCCTGAGTATATGGCCGCCTGTTCATGTCTGGCTGCTTCGTGCAGGGATAGGACAATGTGGGGAGGGGGAATCCGGAGTTGGTAGGTTCACACTCAGCAGCAGGTGTGGGTAGAGAAGCATCCGGATAACTGCCATCCTGGAGACCTCAAGCATTTGTTTCTTGAGGAAGCAGAAAAGGCAAGTTGCTAGGGATTATTAACATCTGCCCTAGTTGTACAGACAAAGATGAATGCTCAAGGAAGAAGAATAGATAGGCTTTTCATTGGGACATCTTGGAAAATCGTATGATGGAGGGTCCCAGCTGCTGGACATGTATCCTGAATAAGTGCCCGCTTGAGCCTGGAGAGATGGTACCAGCATGAATGTCCCAGAAGCTTGGCAGCTGAATGGGTGGTAAGGATCACAGTGTAGGGTCCTGTCCATCAGGACTCAAGAGACTTAGGAGCTAGCTTTTTGAGGAGTACTCTGTCCCCGTCCCCCATCCCTCCCAGTCCCATCCCCCTCCCCAGAGGGTAGGGGGGGGGGAAGTGGGGCAGGCTCAGGGGCAGTTGGGTCCGTTGGTGTGGGGGCAGGGAGATAGCTGTCAGCATGTAAACAGAGAAGGGACCTCAGAAGGGAGAGGTAGGAGAGGTAACTGGCCAGTGGAGGAGTGCGGGCCAGGAGATGGTGATTGAGGAGAAAGGGCCTTTCGTAAAGGAGTTCAGAAGGGCTCAGGCCTGTAGTACAGCATGGGGTAGCCTGGAGAGCAGGTAAGGGCAATGGGGAGAAAGGAAGGCCAAGATAAGCTGAGTTCAATGGAGAACTTGGTGAGCTGTTGTTTGATGAGTCCATTGGCCCCTTCCACCTTTACCAAGGATATTGGGAGATAGGGATTGTGGAGCTTCCAGGAAATGCTGAGAGTCTCCAGCACAAGCTCCATGACCCTGGAAGTGAAGGCTGGTCTTTTGTATGGCCTTTGGCCTTTTGTATGGTCTATGGCAGGCCAAGTCTAGGGATGATGTGGTCCAGGAGTACTTGGGCCACCACATCTGCTGTTTCTCTGGAGGTAGGAAAGGCTTCTATCCATCCAGTTGGTGTGGATTGGCCTTAGCACACATCTGTCAGGAGGTGTGAACTGTAATTGGCTGGAACTGGGTGATCTTGAGAGCTTCCCGAGTGAGTTCAGCCACTGCTGCTAGGGCTCTCAAGCATGGCTGCCATTCACAGACCATGGGGTCCAGTTGTTTGGACAAGAATGCCATGGCCCAGTCCAGAAGCACAACTGGTTGGACTAGATCCCTGGTGGCCACTCCCAACCTTTCATCTGTATAAAGGTGATAAGGTCAAGAAGGATCTAGGGTGGGGGCTGTTAAAATTACATCTCGCAGTAAAGAGAAATGGCTGGCGGCAGACAGTGGCCAGGTGCATGAGGGGCCCCTTGGGAGTCTCTCTGGCTGTCTGGTAAGGTGCTTGGCCGCAATGGCAAAGTTAGGGATCCAGTGAAGAAAGAATACCATTAGGCCCCAAAATGAGAGAATCTGTAAATCCTGCTGGGCTTGGACCCTGTGAGAGGTGAGGGTCTTAGACTCCGGGCTGAGTTGACCACCCGATACACCACAGTGGGAGAGCATAGCTGAGCCGTAGATGGGGAAACACAATATCCTAGGGAGCTGAGGTAGTTCAGGAGCAAAGAGGTGGCCTGTTGGTGCAGAGGCAGAGTGGAGCTACAGAGAAGGAGGTCATCTACATATTGAATGAGTGTTTTAGGACCAGTGTGAAAGGTGGAGATATCCAGAGCCAAGTCGTGGCCAAAGAAATAGGGGGCTGTCCTGAAAACCCTGAGGGAGAACAGTCCATGTAAGCTGTCTGGAGGACCGGGTGTTGGGGTCCTCCCAGGTGAAGGCAAAGAGGAAGTATGAGTCGGGGTGTAAAGGGACAGTAAAGAAGGCACCTTTCAGGTCCAGAACAGTAAAGTGGGGGGTGGCAGGAGGAGTGTTAGACAGGAGGCTGTAGGGGTTGTTAACCCCCGGGTGTGTTGGAAGAACTGCCTCATTGATGAGGTCTTGAACTAAACAGTAAGCCTCAGAGGGCAAATGCACAGGAAGAGTGGGTGTTGCAGGGTGAGTCAATAGGAGCTAAAAGTCCCTGAGAAAAAAGTCAGGTGATAATTGGCTTAAGGTCTCAGTGATAGGTTTCAGAAATAGGAAACGGGTTTGGAAGGGAAGGAAGAAGGATCCTTAAGGTGAATTAGAACTGGCTGGTGGTGAGTAGCCACCACTGGAGTTGAGGTGTCCCATACTTGGGGATCCACTGGATAAGGGAGGGTAGAGACAGGACAGTCTGGGGTGGGAACTTGTAAGGCTGTTAAGGGGAAAAGAAAGTGGGACTCAGGAGACAGTGTGGGGGCCAAGGTGAGTGTGGCCCCAAAGCAGCTGAGAATATTATGACCCAAGCAGAGGGTGTAAGGCAAGCAGGTATGACTGGGAAAGAGTGTGAGAAGAATCGCCCTGCAAGAATGCAGGAAAGTGACAAGTTCTTAAGTGGGAAGGAAAGGATCCTGTCCACCCCCATGACAGAAATTGACGAGGGAACTATAGGATGCCAGTGAGATGTTAAAACAGAATAGGTAGCTCCCATGTCCAATAGAAAGTCAGTGGACTTACCCACTACCTGCAGCATCATGCTAGGCTCAGAGAGGACAATGGGAGTCACCAAGTCTAGACCACATGTCAGTCCACCAGGCTGAGGAGTACTAAGGCTGGAAGAGTCTCAGATGCCAGGTGTTGATTAGTCTGGACCTCTGTTGGTATAGAGGACAAGCCTGCATGGGAGCACTTGATTTCCAGTTTCCAGGCTGTCGGCAGACAGGGCATTGTCTCCTGGGTGGCTGGGGGTCAGGACAGTACTGTGACCAGTAGCCCTCCTGACAGCATTTGAAGCAGGCCCCTGGCAGAATTGAGTTGGGTTGAGCTGCAGCTGGATGGAGCCTTGTCCCCCTTGTGGGGGCCCTGGTGGCCTCAGAGCAGCTGCTAAGTCTTGGGCTTAGAGCTTAGCTTCTGTTGCAATCTTGTCTGTCAAGATGACTCAGCTGCCTCTTCTTTGGCATTAAAAACTTTAAAAGCCGTTTCACCAATTCCTGTAGAGGGGCTTGAGAACCCTACTCAGCCTTTTTTAATTTCTTTCTAATATCTGGTGCTGACTGAGAAATCAAAAGGGTGGCCAGGACTATGGCTCCCGCTGGGGAGGCTGGGTCAAGGTGAGTATACTAAACCATGATCTCTTGTAATCAGTGTCTTGGAGCTTATCAAAATTAACAGCTTTGTCCAAAACCATTTCCATACCTTGGAGGAGGCAACGAAACATAAGGTCTCTTCTTCTTGTCTGTTTTGACCCAGTTGTTAGCCCCAGTAGGGCTCTGTGGCTGGCATCTTCACACAGAAGAACCACAAGGACCATATTGTCCACTCGGTGGGTCTGATCTGCAAGCTGTAACTGCTGCCTGAATTCCCTCGCTCCTCAGGAGTGAGAGTGAAGGCCTGGATCACATAGAGGTCATGCCCGGTCAGATCGTAGGCTTGGGACAAAACTCCTTGATATAAAGAGAAGGATTAGCAGAGAAGGAACCCAACCACTTTTCTGTTTGTGAGAGGTCCTCAAGAGAGAAGGGAGCATGGACTTGAACAGTTCCATCAGTTCCACTTACCTCTTGGAGAGGGCAGAGGAGGTCAAGAGTCTGGCGAGACTGGGTATGAGGAGACTGGGGAGGATTCGGGGGCATTAGGCCAGTGAAGGAGACCAGAACATAGGTTGTGGCACTGGGGGTAGGGATCAGTGGGAAGGAGGGAGGACAAGAAGACAGGTAAGGAGGAGGAACTTGGTCTTCAACCTTTGTCCCAGAGGGGAAAGAAGGTGGATAGAGGGAGGAATGTGAGGAGTGCTGGCCACTGAAAGGAACCTGTGTTAGCAGAAGAGGGGGAGGGGTAGGCAGGGTTCAGAGGAGTGGGGGAGGGGCCAGTGTCTCTGGCAGCATGGTGAAAGCAGAATTTTCAAGGTCCCAGTTCCTAGATAGGCAGGAGTCTAGAGGCTCAGTGACCTGACCGGTTCCTTGGGACACTGGCTGCTGTAGGGAGGGCGGGAACACAGAACCCAAAACCTGTGGACATAGGGCAGTTCTGTTCAATTATCTCTATACTGACAAAAATTTTCAAGATCACAGAAGATGGAAAATTCCAAGGTTCCCTTTGGTGGCCACTTTGACTGGTTATGAAGAGCATATTGTGGACTAGCCTTATTGCTCAGAGAAATCAGCTGTTCAGGACTGATGGTATCAGATAGTCCCAATTTGAATAGGTTTTGTAAAACACCCCAAAGGCGTTTGGGGATCTGGCTTCGAATTGCAGGTGCACATTTCACAAGTCTATGCTGGGACCCAAAGCCTAATGCAGTGAGTTCACTATGGTCGGCTTTGGGCAAAAAGGGTGTGTGGAAAATTTCTTTGAACAGAATGTCTTCTACAGAAGGGGTCCCACAGAACAAAGGCAGGTCTTTGCTCCTGTAACAGGTCAGGGGCCTGGCGAGACCCCGTCTTTGGCAGGACACCCCAAAAATCTAATGAGGCCCCAGGCCTCTTAAGGCAATGACTTGGAAAGGGCAACTTACCAAGGCAAAAGCCAATCTTAGTCTGGCAGAGAGCAGATGTCAGGGAGAAGGATGTTTTCCCACTACAAGGCCCTGGGCTAGTGGGGGAAAATCAGCCCCTCAATAAGCCTCTCCAACACAGCAATTTAAATCAAACCTAATTAGAAAAAGCCCAGGTTTAATGGGTACAGCACTCCCAGATGATTTTCCACCCTCCCACTGTTAGTTAATTGGTAGTGCTGTGCTCTTACCCTGCAAGGAAATGTCACAAAACACTACAGAATCTGCTAATAAGAGTTTTATTAAAGATAAAGGGACAGAGAGGGCCCAGGCCTGTAGGAAACACGTGTGTGGAGAAGAAGAAAAGACCGGGAACATGGCGCCAGATTTTAAAGGCTGAGCGTGCACAGGTCACGTCACTACTCCACGCTGCACATAGATCACATGGCCACGTTGTGCGCCTACATAGCCATGCAACGTCACGGATCCTGGTCACGCGAGACATTGACCTGGAAATGGCTATCTTGACCTGGAACTGGCTAGGCAGAAGTGTCCAGGTCCGCTGGGCATCCTGGTCACACGAGATGCCCTGACCCGGAAATGGCTATCCTGACCTGGACCTGGCTAGGCAGAAGAGTCCACCGGGCATATGCAAACACGCCTAACCGTGGGGGCATGTTGTGAACCCTTCACCCACCCCACCCAGAGAGGAGATGGGAAAGAGAGACGGAAAAACCATGTGTCTGTTTTCTGGGGGAGTGTTTAAATACCCTGTGGGAGTGGTCTTGGGCATCTCTGGGGGAGGAGCTGTGTTTGGCAGGCTTTCTGAAATGACGCAGGGTTTGGGGAGAGAAATATGAGGGTGGGAGATTGAGGTGGAGTTTCCACCAGAACAGTCACCCCATCAGAGAATTATTTGGTGGGCTGGTGAGATGTCTCAGTAGGTAAAAGTACTTGCTGCTAAGGCTGAGTCCCCAGAACCTATGTAAATGTGGAAGTAAACCAATTCCCACAAGTTATTCTCTTCTGTTCATGTGTTGTGGCCTATGCATGCATGTACACATACACATATACACAGAAACACACAATGTAATTTTTTGCAGAAAAAAATGAATTATTTACCCTAAAATGTTAGTTGTGCCAAAGTTGAGAAACACAATGTTAAAGAATTTTCTCAAGTACTTTGTTATTTATTTTTCACTTGATTATTCAACATAAGTTCCAAGATAAAAAAAGTTCTCCCAAATCATACCCATCTCTGATGATAGTTAAGCATTGTCACAGCCATCTTCACATATATGTAAATGGAAGGATAGGAAGAAATGTACTTATAAAATACTATAGATAACACTGAAAGAAAAAACAACTTTTCTTATGTAAAATAGTTAAACTTACAGAAATGAAATTATTTCTCATGTACTCACCACCTAAATTCAATATTTATGAATTCTTGGCTAATTTATTTCATCTACATCCCCACTTCTGATCCTGGGAGGTAGGAGTGGGAGGTAAGGGTGTGTGTGTGTTTATAACCCTGTTGAGGTCAAAGGACAACTTTTAGTCATTCTCTCTTCTCCTTGAACCTTGTGGGGGCAGGGCCTCTCTTGATTTTGCTGGTCTACTTGCTCCAGACTAACTGGCCGCTTCCCATCTCAGTAGGAATGCTGGGATTATAAACTGTAGCCAACACATATCATGCAGCCTTTTGAAAGATTCCAGGCATGTAATTCAAGTCAAGTTTTCTTTCTTTCACAGCAACTGCTTTAATCCACTGAGCCATCTTGTCAGCCTTAGGGTGTCTTAATGCATTTGGATATGTCATACAAGTAATACAATGTTCATTTTTCCTTTTTAAAGCTTTTTTTTTTTTTTTTTTTTAAACAAAGTCTCATTATATAGCCTTGGCTGGCTTGGAACTCACTACGTACACCAGGGTGGCCTCAAACTCAGAAAGACATTTGCCTGCCTTCATCTCCTGAGTGCTGGGATTAAAAATGTGTGTCCATGCCCAACTGTACTGTGGTGTGTGTGTGTGTGTGTGTGTGTGTGTGTGTGTGTGTGTGTGTGTACACGCATGCACACCCAAGCACACATGCATGAGTTTTTGTATACATGGGTGCAGTTGCCTTTAGAAGTCAGAAGACAGATTTGGGTACCCTGGAGATGAAGTTAAAGACAGTTGGGAGCTGCCTGATGTGGGTGCTGGGAACTGAACTCAGGTCTTCTTCAAGAGCAACAAGTGCCTTTAAACAGTGAGCCATCTTTCTATCCACCTTCATTTTTATCATGTCTATATTTCATATGAGATAGCCTTTCTTGTCTTTTTCAGTCTTTATCTGAGTTGTCTTTCAGGTTTTCTGTGTAACAGTGGCTCCTGGGGACTATAAATTAGGAATGTCTCTGTAGGCATCATACACTTTACTAGTTTTTTGTTGTTGTTTTTACAGAGTTTTTCTAAGTAGCCCTGGCTGTCCTGAAACTAGCTCTGTAGACCAGGTGGCCTTGAATTCACAAATCTGCCTGCCTCTATTTGAGATTAAAGATGTGCTAGGATCAAAAGTGTGCATTGCCTGTTGATGAGTTTCTTGAGTACAAGAACCATACCTCAGAGCTCTCCATATTAGCATGCCTTCAGGATTTTTAGCCATCCACATGCCTCAGTATTTTTATGGAATGTCAGCACAATTAGCATTACATAATTGCAACAAGATAAATTTTTGTTTGTTTTTGTTTTCTTTTTAGAGACAGGGTTTCTCTGTGTAACAGCTCTGGCTATCCTGGAACTCACTTTGTAGACCACTCTGGCCTCACGGAGATCCACCTGCCTCTGCCTCCTGATTAAAGGGATTAAAGGCATGTGCCCCTACCACCTAGCTACGACAAGGTAATTTATTTACAACAGTAAATCATGCTCATTTAGTTCCACAACCTTCATAGAGAAAATTATTCAGATTAACATGTGGTACATGCATTTAGATAACATTTACTATATGCTGACTCTTTTATAAGTATATTTTCAGTTAATCATGACAACTCCTAAGAAGCAGGTCCCTATTATTATCCCCATTTTATGTGATGAGAAGTCAAGGCCTGAGTTAAAAAACTTGGCAAGGTTGCCCAGCTATATTTGAGTAGTTAATGGCATAGCCAGGGTTTCTGCAGAGTTTGATATTTGTGCCCCTAACCATTCTACCATGTTGTCTCTGTGCTCCCATATAATACCTGTTTTTGTAAAATATACACTGCTCTACCAAATGTCATAGTTAATCTTCCTCTTTTTGGATCTGGTTTTGTTTGTTTGTGGGGTTTTGTTTCATTTTGTTGGTTTGTTTGTTTGTTTTGGTTTTTTTTTTGTTGTTGTTGTTGTTGTTTTTCAAGACAGGGTTTTTCTGTGTAGCCCTGGCTGTCCTGGAAATCACTCTGTAGACCAGGCTGGCCTGGAACACAGATCTGCCTGACTGCCTCCCAAGTGCTGGGATTAAAGGTGTGTACCACCACTTCCTGGCTAGATCAGAAATGTTGCTAATGCTTTGTCTTTACAAAATCTTCACGTGCTCCATGTGCCAGTTAGGTCAGGCTAATGGCTGACTTCTTTCTTTCTGGGAAGACTGACCTTTGTCCACACTCATAAGACCAGCTATTTGGCATTCCCACTGGGATGAGCCTCTTTGCAGCTTTTAGATTTCCAAGTTGGCTACAGCCCCTTTTCCTTACTCCTAGCTTTCTTGGATTTCTAACACTCACACAGTCTCTGCCATGAGATAGTGCCTACCTTGGAGAGGCACTCACTGACCTTTGTACCTACCGTGACCAGTTCCTGTTGGAGCTGTCTGGGAACTGTTTTCAAAGCAAGGGCCTATGCAGAAGTTATCTCACACAGGTAGTAACTCAAAAAACTTATAATTTAGTAAGGGAAGCCAGGATGTGCACAAGTATTCATGATGAAAAGCAGCTAAGCTATAAGAGAAGTCATTCAAAAAATCAGAGAAAAGCAAATGTTTCTGATAGGGGGAATCCAGAAAAGTTGTGTGGAAGTGTTGGCACTTCAGCTAATTTACTAATTTCTAAATTGTCTAAAAGTTACTAGTGCCTGTTTAAACACAGGCCTTAACTTTGTACAGAGTGGAGCCTAGGCAAGGTTGGTAAGGCTTGATTGTTCAGGGAAGAGTTTTTCTGTTGCGGTTTTGGTTTTGATGTTTGTTTTTGTTTTTTACACGTGTATGAGTGTTTTGCCTGCATGTTGTGTGCACCATGTGTGTGCCTGGTACCTGTTGAGGTCAGAAGAGGGCATCAGATCCCCCAGAACTGGAG